GTTCCATCCACGTTGCTACAAATGGCCAGATTTCATTCTTTCTCATTGCCATGTAGTATTCCATTGTATACATAAACCACATCTTCTTGATCCATTCGTCAGTTGATGGACACTTAGGCTCTTTCCATGATTTGGCTATTGTTTTTTTTTTTTAATGTTTTATTCATCTCTGAGAGAGAGAGACAGCATGAGCAGGGGAGGGTCAGAGAGACACAGAATCTGAAGCAGGCTACAGAGCTGCTGACAGCTAGCTCAGAGCCCGACGCGGGGCTTGAACCCACGAACCGTGAGATCATGACCTGAGCTGAAGTCGACTGCTTAACCGACTGAGCCACGTAGGTGCCCCGGCTATTGCTGAAAGTACTGCTATGAACATTGGGGTGCATGTGCCCTGTATCCCTTGGGTAAATTCCTAGCAGTGCTATTGCTGAGTCATAGGGGAGTTCTATTGTTAATTTTTTGAGGAACCTCCAGTGTTTATTTTGGGAGAGAGAGCAAGGGAGGGGCAGAGAGGGAGACAGAGAATCTGAAGCAGGCTTCAGGTTCTGAGCCGTCAGCACAGAGCCTGATGTGGGGCTCGAACTCATGAACTGTGAGATCATGACCTGAGCCGAAGTCCGATGCCCCCGCCCCCATCACTGGAATTATACAGTATGTGACCTTTTGAGACAGGCTTTGTGCACTCAGCCTAATGCCATTGACATTAATCCAATTTATCCTGCATCTCAATAAGTCATTCCTCTTAGTGGCTAAGTAGTAAATATCCCAATATACAAATGTACTATGGCTTTTTCATTCAGTCACCCACTGAAGGGCATTTGGATTGTTTCCAACTTAGGGCAATTATGAATAGAGCTGCTACAAACATTCGTGGACAGGTTTCTGTGTAGACATATGTGTTCATTTCTCTAGGATAAATGCCATGTGGGATTTCTAGATCATACAGGGTCTGAAGGGTCTAAAGTTTAACTTTAGAAGAAAATCCCATCAGTCTGAAGAGTTTCCTTCAGCAATTCTTTTAGTGCCGATATGCACTAAATTCTCTTAGTTCTTTCTCACTGAGAATTTAATTTTTGTCTTAAAGCTTTTATCTTTTTATTAAAAATTTTTTAAATGTTTATTTTTGAGACAGAGACAGAGTGCAAGCAGGGAAGGGACAGAGAGGGAGGGAGACACAGAATCTGAAGCAGGCTCCAGGCTCTAAGCTGTCAGCACAGAGCCCGACGTGGGGCTTGAACTCATGAAATGTGAGATCATGACCTGAGCTGAAGTCGTACACTTAACCGACTGAGCCACCCAAGCACCCCTTAAAGATTTTATTTTTAAGTAAAATACACACCCAATGTGGGGCTCGAACTCACAATCCCAGGATCAAGAGTCACAGGCTCCACAGACCTAGCCAGCCAGGGGCCCCTCACTGAGGTTTTCTTTACTTCACTTTCATAATGTAAGACATTTTCACTGAATACCGGGTTGACAGCGTCTTTCAGCACTCGAAGAATGTTATTCCACTTCTTTCTGGTCTCACAGTTTCTGGTGACAAATAGGAAGTCATTTGCATAGATGTTTCCCTATAAACAACTTGTTTTCTTTGGCTGCTTCCAAGATTTTTTTGGCTTTGGTTTTCAGTGGCATGATTATGATCTTAATTTGTCCTGTCTGGGTTTGCCGAGGTTCTTAAATCTGTAAGTTTAGGTCTTTTGCCAAATCTGAGAACTAAGTTTTCAGCCATTATTTCTTCAAACTTTTTTTCTTTTTTGGTAGCACACTTTCTCCTTGCCTTCTGGAACTCTGATGTCATGAATATTAAACCATTTGCTATTATCCTTTTGTATCCCTGAAGCTCTGTTCATGTTTTTTTTCCCAATATTTTTGTCTCCATGATTTTAAAAAAATTTTGAGTAGTCTCCACACCCAACACGGGGCTCAAACTCACGACCCCGAGATCAAGAGTCACATGCTCCACCCACTGAGCCAGTCAGGTGCCCCCTCTCTGTGACTTCTAGTGCATAATTTCTATTGCTCTATCTTCAAGTCCACTAGTTCTTTCCTTTGTTATATCCATTCTGCTATTTGATCCCATCCATGGAATATCTATTTTGGTTATTTTATTTTTTCACTTCTAAAATTTCCATTTGGTTCTTTTTTTTATATCTTTAATAGCTGAGACTTTCTATCTTTTCATTGACTTAAAGGGTATTTGCCTGAAGCATTTAGAATAGCGGCTTTGGGGGGCACATGGCGGGGCTCAGTTGGTTGAGCATCTGACTCTTGTTTTCTACTCAGGTCATGATCCCAGGGTCGTGGGACTGAGCCCCGCGTCAGGCTCTGTGCTGAGCATGGGGCCTGCTTCAGATTCTCTCCCTCTCCCTCTGTCCCTCTCCCCTGCTCGTGCTTTCTTTCTCTCTTGAAATGAAATGAAATGAAATGAAATGAAATGAAATCGCTGCTTTGAAGTCTTTGTCAGAGAAACCCAGCCTCTGTGTCATCTTGACATTTGCATTCGTCTGTGTGAGTTGAAGCTTCTCCTGGTTCTGGTATTCTTTTTTAAAAACATTTTTATGTCTTTATTTTATTTTGAGAGAGAGACAGAGTGCAAGTGGGGGGAGGGGCAGAGAGAGAAGGAGACACAGAATCTGAAGCAGGCTCCAGGCTCTGAGCTGTCAGCACAGCGCCCGATGTGGGGCTTGATCCCATGAACCATGGGATCATGACCTGAGCTGAAGTCAGAAGCTTAACTGAACGAGACACCCGGGGGCCCCTGACTCATTAATTTTGTTTTCTAGGTGACATGGAGTTTTAGATGACTGGGAGACATCCAGATGGATATGTCTGGCACAGAGGATCATATGGTTCAGAGCACAGCAGAGGAGCAAGTGACAAAGATTTGGAGATTATTAGCACAGGGGGCTGTGGCATAATAAGAAATATATATTTGGTCTTTGTCCCTAGCTCCTGACACAGAGCTCCTAAATCTCTTGCAATTCCCGGGTGAAAGGGGCATCTTTTGTTTTAATGAGGTGACTCTTGGTGAGTGGGCCTCTAGATAGCTTCAGGGTGGGTTCTGGTTGCCAGAGAGACCAAGCTTTGCCTGGAAGCCTGGAACTTTCAGCCCCACCCCCATCCCCAAGGAGGGCAGAGCTCCCTTCCACACCTTCCCCCCCCCCCCCCCGTGTCCCTCTCTATCTGGCTGCTCATTTGCATCCTTTACAACATCTTTTATAATAAACCAGGACATGTAAACAAAGTGTGTTCTTGAGTTCTTTGAGATGTTCTAGCAAATGATCAAACCTGAGGAGGGGGTCGTGGGGGTCCCAGATTTATAGTCAGTTGGTAAGAAGTACAGGAGGCTCAGGACTTTCGGGGGCATCTGAAGTAGGGCCAGTTTGTGAGACTGGACCCGTCAGCTGTGGGAGCCCTGCCAACCTTTGTAGTTAGCGTCAGAATGGAGGCAAATTGTCCGGCACCCACCTGGTGTCAGGAGAATCAGAGCATTGGCCGTTGAGGTTGGAGAACCCCACGGAAGTGGCTATCCTCGTGGTGAGGACTTCATGTCCTGGCCCCTCCTAGTGAAGAATGGCCACGTGACCACATTCCAGCCACTGGGGTAGGAGCTGAAGTAACACGTGCAGCTTCCTCACTTTATTATCTGTCTATCTATCTATCTACCTATCTATCTATCTATCTATCTATCTATCTATTGATGTTTTTATTTATGAGAGAGAGAGAGAGAGTGAGAACAGGGGGAGAGGGGCAGAGGAAGAGAGAGAATCCCAAGCAGGCTCCATGCTATCTGCACAGACCCCCATGCTGGGCTTGATCCCATGACCTGAGCTGAAATCAAGAGTTGGACCTCAACCAACTGAGCCACCCAGGCGGCCCCCCAATTGTCTCTTTAAGAGGAAAATGCTCCCTCTCTACTTCCTCTTTCTCATTCCCACGAGCTGGCATGTGGTTGTGCGGGGGGAGGGATGGACATTCTCCCACCATACAAATGAGTGCAACAGTCTTGGGGTAACAAGATAAAGGGTGTCTGGGCTCCTTGTGGGTCAGAGCCATGACCAGAGCCCTGCCTCTGGACCATCTGTCAGCTCGGACCCTTGTATGAGAGGGAAATAAACCTCCATGGTACCATTATTTGGTCTCTGTTAAGGCAGGTGCACCAATATTTTAACTTAATAGACTGACTTGTTCATTGATTCAACAACCATTTCCTGGGTGGCACCACGTGAGACATCCAGAGTCACAGATACAAGGTCGCAAATGGCCCGGGTTATAATTGTTTCTTCCCAGAATCACGTCACTTTCAGGATCTGAGTTTCTGTACCAGCAGCACAGGTCTCCTATGACTGAAGGTCCCGGAAACGTTCCAGACTCAGACAGAGGCTCATCCCTAGGACCAGGAGCATTTATGTGGTGGAGGGGGCTGTGCACAGGCCTTCTGGGCAGGGGCTAGAGCCTAATTCAGCATTTCAGCAAGTCTCTGTTTAGTGTTTCCAAAGCGCCCACCTTAGTTTTCAAGGAAGTGACTCTGTGCACTCACATTTCATCAGTTTGTCTAATATTTAATTGAATTACGAGATAATAGGATTATGTGGTTATAGGATTACAATGACGAGTATACCTGGCTGAAACAGGCTAGACGTCCAGCTGAGGCTTGGTAAACAAAAAACTCAACCCCGGGGGCAACTCAAGTACCTGCTTTTTGAGACCTTGGGTCAGCAAACTGTGGTTCCACGGGTCTGTTTTGGTCACATCCTGAGGTCAAATGGTTTCACGATGACTGGTTTTACATTTTTAAATGGTTGGGGGGAAAATCAAAGAATATGACATGAAAATTATGTGAAATTCCATCTTTAATACCCACAAATAAAGTTTTATTGGAGCACAGCCACACCCACGCATTTCTTTTGCATAGTTCTATGGCTGCTTTTGTGCTTCGATAGCCAGGCTGAACAGCTGAACAGAGACTGAAATATTTACTGTTTGGTCTTTTACAGAAAGACTTTGCTTATACCTGTTCTAGAGAGATGCCTGTCTCTTGGGAATGCACCATGCCACAGGCATCTGTCGCTGCGTTTTACAGAAGGACCAGCAACTTGGGGTAAGGAAAGGTCTCCTAGGAGAACTCCTGTTGTAAGGGATGAAAATCCTTTATTTCTTGGCCTTGCTACCTCCCAAACCTACCCCTTAGATATAAGCAGAATTGAAGGTGTGACAGTTTGAACAATTTTCATTGACCTCACTCACTCACCCATGGTCCCATGTGCCTCCCACAGGGCTTTGTACACAATGACGGATCGTGGGAAATAGAGAATGCCCCTGCCGCTTCCCTGCCATTTATCAAAGCAGATGACAAGGCTTCCTTGAATGTGGCTAATATCCCTTTGGACAGGTGGCTATTTCTCAGTGGTGTCAACGGACTATTCTTCATTCTCGGCCTCATTCCCAGCCAAGAACCAGAGTGGTTTTAGGTAACAGGACATTTATACTCGTGACAAAACGAACAAGCTTGCATTTCGATAAGCGCCATCATGGTAGCCAATATTTTCCCGGGCTACGGCTAGCAGTCAAGGTAACACGGAGAGTTTCACATGGATAACAAATGAGAGCATTAAAAATTAGCGGGCAGACAGATCCACGGTCTAACTCCTGCTGACATCCATTGATTTTCTGCTGTCTCCTCCGGGGACTTTCTTCGCTAGATGAGCCAGATGAAACATTGTCAGTACTGTCTGGACATAACTGCAAGTTGTACTTAGGTGACACGTGAGGCATATCTGCACCTGTGGGGAGTGTGTGTGTGTGTGTGTGTGTGACTGTGTCTGTGTGTGTATCTGCGCCACTATCGTGTCTTGGCTGGATTATTGCAGTAGGTTCTTAACTGGCTTCTCTGTTTCTCTCCTTCTCCTTCTTCTTTTTAAATTAAAAAAAAAATGTTTTTTTTGAGAGAAACAGAGTGTGAATGGGGAAAGAGCAGAGAGAGAGAGACAGAGACACAGAATCTGAAACAGGCTCCAGGTTCTGAGATGTCAGCACAGAGCCTGATGCAGACTTGAACTCTCAAACCATGAGATCATGACTTGAGCTGAATTTAGATGCTTAACTGACTGAGCCACCCAGGCACCCCCCCAAGTTTATATTTTGAGAGAGAGAGCAAATGGAGAAGGAACAGAGAGAAAGGGGAAGAGAGAATTCTAAGCAGGCTCTGCACTGACAGCACAGAGCCTAGTGTGGGGCTCAGATTCATGAACCGTGAGATCATGACCTGAGCCCAAACCAAGACTCAGGCGCTCAACCACCTGAGCCATCCAGGAGTCCCCTGGACTTCCTGCTTCTGACCTTGCCTTCCTTCAGTCTATTCTCAACACAGCAGCCAAGATGCTTTCTTTAAAACCTAAGTCAGGGGGTGCCTGGCTAGCTCAATCAGTGGAGTATGTGACTCTTGGTCTCAGGGTTGTGGGTTGGAGCCCCACATTGGGTGGAGAGATTACTTAAAAAAAAAAAAATCTTCAGAAAAAAAAGCGCCTAAGTCACACCATGTCCTTCCTTGGACTGAAGCTCTCATGTCATTCTGAGCAAAAGGCAGAGTCCTTTTTTTTTTTTTTGCAAAAGGCAGAGTCCTTATAGCAGCCAACAAGGTCCTCCATGATCCAGCCCCCTGCTGCTCCCTGATCTCTCCTTCCAATATCCCTACTGCTCACTGCACTCCAGCCACATGGGCCTCCTTGCCATCCTCAAACTGCCAAGAACATTCCTACCTCAGGGCCTTTGCACATGCTCTCTCCCCCACCTGGAACATTTCTTCCCAAGGTAGAATGAAGGTAGACATTCCTTCAAATGCCATCGTATAAGTGAGGCTTTCCCTAACCATCCAACATAAAATAAACCCTGTGCACCCCAGGACTCTTTATCCCCTTACCCTGACTTTTTCCTATAGCACCTACCATAATCAGCATACTACATGCTTTCTTGTTTATTTACTGATGTCCTATTTCCTGCCTCTAGAATGTGAGTTCCACTGGGGCAAGGATTTTGCCTGTTAGTTCACTGCTCTGTCCTCTGTGCTTAGCATGGCGCCTGCCACCGAGGAGGGGCTTAATAAGGGTTTGTTGGATGAGGATTGACTCTTTCTTACTTCAGGCAACTTGCTGTCCCTAGGACCTTGGGCCTGAGGCCTTGCTGCAGGTGGAAGGCAGGGGGCTAGCGCTGCCCAGTGTGTGATATATTACAGAGAGCCCTTGTGTGGCGAGAAGTGGGGAACAGTGGGCTGGTGGTGCGGTGGGGTACAGAATGCTAAGCCTCTGGGGATGTGTGGCATGGGTCATCTTATCTTGATGAGTGGCCCTTAAACCCGCTGGGCAAGGGGACTGCTCAGCTGGGGTCCAAGTTCCTGGCCTCCCTGACCCCCGGAGTGGCCTTGCTAAGGTGTTCTGGGAATGGGGATCAAGGGACCCCAGGGATTCTGTCCCTTCTACCTTTTGAGCACAGGTTGGAGGCAGATGCTGGCCCCAAGTCTACAATAAAATTATTCTGAAGTTTCTCCTTTTACAGATATCAGTCCCCCCACCTTGCAGACATGTCTAACAGCAACTGAGTCATGATGGTGGCGGGTGTGTAGGTGGGGGGTAACTGAGCCCATTGATCGAGGGCTGAGACATTCTCCCCACTAATAAACAAGTTAATAAACTCTTCAATGAGGAGGTGGTGATTAATGAACCAATCAGCTTGCCCTGTAATTGGGAAGTGGAATCGGAGGGCGGGTGTGGCAGAGGGAGGTTTGTGGGGTGTGGGAGGCTGGCTCCGGGTCGGCCCTGAGGGACAGTCTCAGGTCCCTCTCTCTTTCACTCTAAATGTAAATAGGGAAGTGACTTCTTTAGGGGTTGTACCCTGAATCCGGGCCTCCCCCAATGCCTTCTGGCTTCTCTGTTTCTCCTCTGCTCCCATTCATCCTCAGACCCCAAATTCCCCAAGGCATGAGAAGGTTCCAGAGAGGCCACCGATTCCCTTTGGGCATTTCACGATCCCTGTCATCTCTCTCTGCCTGGGATCAGTGCATAGAATTGCCCCCCCACCCCCGTCCCCGTCACCACCCCAGCCAGAGCTGCTGTGCCCAGCCCCCATACTCTCAGATATCCCTGTCCCCTTTAGCCCTCAGGGTCCTTGTCTTGGCTCTGACCCTGGGGTTACAGATGCCCTAACCAGCCCCACCCCCCACCTCCGGCTGTCCTTTCCATCCCAAGCATGAGCGCCTGCCTCTTTCTTGCCATGGCCATCTGGAAGAGTGTTCTTTATTTTTGCTGTCCGCTCCCCCAACTGGACCCAGGCTTGTCCCTCTATTTTCCTCTCTGTCCCTATGTCCTGGGAACTCTCCAGACTGGGGCTCTAGAAGGATCGCGGAGTGCCTCCTTCCTTGGTTTGAGCACCCCCCCCAGTGATACTGCTGCTCCCTTCCCCTCAGACTGGGGATCCCCAAGGATATGGCCACGACTCTCCTCTGAGGCTGGGGTTCCTGGAGAACAGGGCTGAACCCTGCCCTTTGGATGAATGATTTTTCTTCTCCCTCTGAGTATAGGGTCCATGTCCCCTCTTCCACATCCATGCTCAGCTGCCCTGGCCTTTCTTCAGGTGTGCGGGGGGCCCCCGAGGCCTGACTAGTTGTTAAGGAACCATTTCCGGAGAGTGCAGATGATTGAACCTGTAAAAAGATGATTGAGGGAGCCTTAGACTCTCCACCTTGAGAGAGCTCTAAAAATAACACCCACGGCCATCTGTCTGAGAGGGTGGAGGGGCTGGCCCACTACCAAGATGGCCCTCCTGCCCTCAGGGGCTGATGGGACACAGGGAAGCCCTGGTGGCTCTGGCCAGGCAGGGGAGGGGGGACCTGGAAAGGGTATTATGGGGACACTCCCCAACAACCCCCTTTTCCCAGTGGGGCCAGGTAGGTACAATGCAGTTGGCCCCAGAAAGGGTAGCAGGCCCCCAAATTAGCCTCCCCTCCCCTGCTCCCATGCCCAGCTTCTGATCCCAGGCCATAAGCCTTTCTGCTCCTCAGCTGAGAGGACCTCTTCCAGTGGCCTGCCCCAGCCCTTTTCTCTGGGTTGAGTCCTGGGTTCCCTCCTCTCTCAGAGCTTCAGTTTCCTTATCTGTAAAATGGGCATAAACTCAGCTCATTGCCTTGTTGTGCGGAAATCCTGTTCTGCCCAGTACACAGCAGGAGCCTAATAAACAGTCGTCCCTTCCTCTTTCTTTCCAAGGCCCTGGGTGCGGATCTTCGCCCCAGACCCCGGTGGAGATGACAATGGGCTGGGGACAGTGGCACGTGCATGGGCAGCCCTGGGATCACTCAACCCCAGAAGACGCCAGTGCCTGAATGACACCTGGGTGGGGATGGGGTGAACTGCTTTGAAGGGGATCTCTGTGCCAGGCCTGCTGGGGCCGGGCTCTGCGTGTGTCCGGCTGGGTGCGAGGGTGCTAGACTCGGCTGCTGTTGCGGGTGGGGCCTCGGCCTCCTCTCAACCCTCTTCCCAACTCTTTAACAGAGAAGGGACATAGTGGGGTGTCCAGAGAGGCCTCTCCTCTAGGACCATAAACCGCAGGTCAAGAGTCAAGGTTATAGCTCCCAGCCCACCTCCAGTAGGAAGAGGCTTTCCCCACATTCGCTCAGCCCAACTTCAAGGTACTGGCGAGCGAGGGCTGAAAAGGTTGTATTTTCCACGGAATGGTCACACGTCTCACTGGCTGGAGGCGAAGTATCCGGGCTACGCCCCTTATTCCCACCCAGAGGCAGGTTAGGGAAGATGTAATCTCATCCCAGCTCTTAGGGGCTGTCCCAGGAGTCTAGAAACGAACGCTTCACTTCCTCAGGAGGCAACACCTGCTCTTGGGGGGCTCTGGGGTGAAGATGGGGCTCAGGGCTCTGTCCAGAATCAGTTTGAGCCCAGTGGCTGCCCCCTCCTCTCCTGCAAGGTGGAGACATCACGCACTGTCTGGGTGTAAGCTCAGCGATCTGGCGGGGGTGGAGGCAAGGAGGAGGAAGGGCCCTCCCCAAGTCTCCAGCTCCCCCCCCACACTCCCCCTCCCTTCCCAGGCCGGGGATATAAGCCCCGCAGGGAAAGCACTGAGCAGAGGAGGAGGCCACAGCCCGACCTGCAGCAGTCCAGCCCTTGGGACTCCTCTCGCCGTCCAGCTGCTCATCTCCGCTTTCAGAGCTGTTGCCGTGAGTGGCCCGGGACCAGGAATGGCCTGGTGCCGGGGAACCCGGGCTGTTTTGTGGGGAAACTGAGGCTGGGATGGTGGAAACGGGCTGAGTGGCCAGCATAGGCTTTATCTCTAACTACGGTTCTGAGCAGCACGAATGGGGGTTGGGGAGGCCGACAGGGCTTATGCCTCTCTGACAGGGAAACTGAGGCAGAGACGGGGCAGTGCCCGAGCACACACGGCGAGCCAGCAGCTGGGCCTCGGCCCATTCACAGTGCTGCACAGGCCGGGGGAAAAGCGGGCCCGACCACAGGCAGCCTCCTGCCGTCGGGTGTCGAGGCTGGGGATGGCCCACGACCCACTGCCCCCTCTCCAGATGGTGACGGTGCGCAGGCCGTGGCCCGCCGTGGCCACAGTGCTGCTGGCTCTGCTCGCCTGCCTGGGGGCGCTGGTCCACGCCTATCCCTCCAAACCCGAGGCTCCCGGCGAAGACGCCTCGCCGGAGGAGCTGAGCCGCTACTACGCGTCGCTGCGCCACTACCTCAACCTGGTCACTCGGCAGCGGTGAGCGCGTGCGCCTGCCGGGCCCGCGGAGGGGTCCCTGGGGCTCCTGCCCCCGCCGCCCCCTCCGCCCGGGGGCGTGCCCGCGCCTGACCCCGCCCCCTCCGTCCCCGCCCCCAGGTACGGGAAACGTGACAGTCCCGAAGCCGTCCTCTTGAAACTGCTCTTCCCCGACGGCGAGGACCGCCGGGTCAAGTCACGGTAAAAGCTCCCCCTGGCCTCACCTCGTGTCCCCTAGTGCTCGGTCCGCGATGTGCGGCCCCACGGAGCCTCACCTGAGCCCCACCACCTAGCGCTTTCCCCAGTCTCTCCCCAGATCCAAGGCCGGCCTCTGAGCCATCCCTTTCCTTTCCTTTTCTTCCTACAGGCCAGAAGGCGCGTACATGTGGTGACGACCCCAAGGCCTCCTGGGAGATGCGCTAACTGCACCGACCTCGTTTGCATGTTTGCTCCTGACCCCGGAACCTGGGTTCGCCTCTCGCTGCCTGCTGCGCCTGGGGGGAGGGGGTGCTGGATGGGGTCTTCATTCCAGTTCTCCGGGCCCCCAGCCCCTGGGCTGGAGGGCTGTGTGTGGTCTTTCCCTGCTCCCCAAATAAAGAGCAAATTTCACTGAAATGGAATGTGTGGGTTTGTATTTCCTTTCCCTTCTCCTTCGTGGAGGTGGCATGCAGGGGGGAGTGGAGGCATCAGAGAAGACTGGGTGCTGTAGACAAAAGGCTCTTCAGGACAGGGCTGGGGGCTCCCTGGGCTCTGAGCTAAGGGAAGACATTATGGCCCAAGCAAGGGACCTCAGTGGCGCTCTCCTGTTGGGCTGGAAGTGGGGCAGGATGAAAGTTCTAGACAAGGGGCAGGGCGGAGCAGGAAGAGGAGCTGGGATAGGATGGAGGACTGGGGTGGAAGGAACACTCAAGGCAGCCTAAAATGGGGGCAGAGGTGCCCCAAAGATGCAGGTGCCCGGGGGCATGGGCTCGGGCAGTTACCCTGAGGAGATGTGCTACTAACCTCCAGGGCAGTAGTGGCTGGGAGTAGAGGTGGGGTCCAAGATGGGACTGTGGAGGAAGTCATTTGGGGGGTGAGGTGGGTGTGGGTGCATGAGGGGGATGAGTCATTTCTAACACCCCCCACTGCCTGGGCACGAGGGGCAATGGCAGTGGGGGGGGGCTGCCCATCCCCTTAGCAGTGCCCTCCCCCACATTGCCGAATTCCCACTCAATGGCTATGTCACTAACTGTGCTTTCCTGGTGACAAGATTATGGGACCACCCTCCAGGGCACCTCCTCCAGCCCCCGTCCTTCCCTAGACTAGACACTGAAGGCTGACGGCACTTGGGATGTCTACACTGGCATCTAACCCAAATCCCTCACCACTCTGTACCGATGACAGAAGAATCCCAGAGCTTGCCTGCAGGCCGATCTTCCCTCACACCCTTCCTTCCCAGCCCCTTTCCTTCAGGAAGCCTGCCCGATTGTCCCTGATCTGCACTCTTCCCTCTGCGGCAGCCCAGCTCATGCGGCCACTGCTCTGTTCTGTCCATGCTGCGGGGCCCGGGCGCCCTTACAAGTCTGAGGAACCCCGGAAGGAAGGGCCTATGTCTCCCCACTCCAACACAGCCCCTTCCGTCTCTGGGCTCTCTCTTGGGCCTCTGGGTCAGCAAGACATGGGCAAGTCCAAGGCAGGGAGCTGGGGGGTGTGGAGGAGAATTAGGTCGAAGCCAAAGCCCCAGGCCCTCCGAGAGGGACAGAAGGTCAGGAAGGCTGCGTGTAGGGGTCTCGCAGGACTGGTTGCAGGGAGGTGGCCAGGGGAGGAGAGAAGATCCTAAAGCTGGCTCCGCCCAGAGCTGCAGGGGAGGCCCCTGCTGGCCACAACCTGCCCTCAGGGGCCTGGGACTCTGCCTCTACCCTCTCTGGTGCTGCCTGCCTCTACCTCGAGGGGGGGCTGGAAGTGGAAGCAGGTCCAGAGCCTGGGGCACATCACCAGCTATGTAGGCTCTGATGCTCTAAGCCTTTGTCCAGGCCACTCTCCAGCCTGCAGAGCCCTTTCCATCCCTTCGGTCTGGAAAATGTCTTCAGGGTAGCGTTCGCCTCCTCCCAGAAGCCTCTCCTGATTTCTTGGGGTAGAGTTGGTGTCTCTGGTTCTCTCTCCCTACCATACTGTCATTAGCTGAGACTCGTTTCCCAAGTCATTTTGCCCCCTCTTCGCCCCTCCCATTCCCACTCCCTCTGCACTAGGAGAGGAGGGATGGGAACACAGAGCGGCGGCCATAAGCTTTGGTGCATTTTGTGCCATCAGAGGAGTGGAACGGCGTGCGCCTGTGTTAGTGTCCGTGGCTGCGTGGCTGGCAGTCTGCCTGGGAGAGCTTCGGTCAGTCTGAGGCCGACGGAAGAGACCCCTGCTGTGAATCCTACACGACCACAGGCATTTCAGTCTGACACGTCTGGTTGACTATCAGGGACATGGGTTCGTCTGTTTGCTTGGAGTATTGAGCCGGTGGATTAACCAGACCCCACCAATGTGGCAGCCGGAGGGGCCTCGGGTGTAATATTAATGGTGACAATAATAGCTACCTTTTGGAAGAAGCACTTCCTCACGCGCTAGACGCTGAGCTATTTGTTTTACACACACCATATTGCTAAGATATTGATTTGGCATTTTCAATAGAGGCAGAATCAGCAGTGGCTTAAAAGAGACAGAAGCTTCTTTCTCTTTTATATAAAATTCAAGTGGCATCTGGGGAGTCAACAGCTCCCTTCCCCAAGGATGTCCAAAAGCCCAGGATCCTATTTTGTGGCATCTCCGATTGAAGATGGCCCATGACCGTCTCCGTGTTCCAGTCAAGGGGGAGAGAGGGATGGGGAAGGTGCGGGCGTGCTGTCACTGTGCTGGGTCGCAGTGACCCCGAGACTTAGCAGCTTCAAGCAACCTTTTCATGTCACTCATGGTTTTGTGGGTCAGGCTTGGGAAGGGCTCAGCTCGGCACCTGCCGCTTGGAGTCTTTCATGCGGTGACAGTGAGAGGCTGGCTGGGGCTGCTGTCGGTTGAGGGCACCCCTGGGGTTGATGCCCAAGAAGGCCCCCTTGCACGTCTGGTGGACGCTGCTGGCTGGGGGCTCGGCTGCATCTGATGACCCTGCACCTACGTGTGGTGGCCCCTCTGGCACAATATTGCAGGGGGTGGAGGTAGTTGGACCTACATGGTGGCTGGCTCCCTGCCAGGGTGAGAACCAGGAGGAGGCAGCAAGGCTGCTGGATTCCTAGGGCCGCTGTGAGAAAAGACCACAAACTGAGTGATTTTGAAGCAGTTCTGGAGCCCAGAAGTCTGAAGCCAAGGCTTTGTCAGGGCTGTGGGGGAAGGGTCTGTTCCAGGCTCTCTCCATGGCTTATCGATGGCTTCCCTATTTCTTCACCTCGTCTTCCCTCTCTGCATGTCTCTTTCCGTGTCCAAATCGCCCCTTTATTTAAACACAGCAGTCAGGGTGCCTGGGGGGCTTAGTTGGTTGAGCATCTGACTTTGGCTTCAGTCATGATCTCCCGGTTCGGGAGTTCCAGCCCTGCACTGGGCTCTGTGATGATGGCTCAGAGCCTGGAGTCAGCTTGGGATCCTGTGTCTCCCTCACTCTCTGCCCCTCCCCTGCTCACACTCTTTCTCTCTGTCTCTCAAAAATAAATGTGAAAAAAAAGTTAGAAACATAAAATAAACACAGCAGCCATATTAGAGTAGGGGTCCACCCTGCTCTGCTCTGACCTCATCTTAGTTACATCTGCAATGAGCTTATTTCCAAATAAGTTTGCATCCTGAGGTACTGGGAGTTAGGACTTTGACACATGAATTTGGGGGTAAGGACACCATTCAACCCATAAACAACCACCTTTTATTATATATATATTTTTTACTTTTTTTAAATCTTTATTTTTGAGAGAGAGAGAGAGAGGCAGAATGTGAGTGGGGGAGGAACAGAGAGAGGAGACACAGAATCCAAAGCAGGCTCCAGGCTCCGAGCTGTCAGCACAGAGCCCGGCGCGGGGCTTGAACTCATGAACCGCAAGATCATGACCTGAGCCGAAGTTGGCTGCTTAACCAACTGAGCCACCCAGGCACCCCTCAGACCCCTTTACGGACGGCAGCTGTGCTTGCCACTCTACTGCCAAGGCCCCCAAGCTTGACTATGATGGAAAGAGGAGAGAGTGGGGGTTGGGGCCACTCGTGTTATCTGTTCCAGACACGATCTCTTTTGAACATCATCTGACAATCATTTGGGTCCATCTCTTCCTCAAGTAGATGGGAGTCCCGAGGTCCTGAGACAGGGAGAAGCCTGCAGGAAGTCATAGAGTTGGGGACAGAGGTAAAAGAGCCCGTTGTGTGCTAGTCCTGATTCCACTAGCCGTTAGGGCGAAACTCTTGTGCCTGAAACACCAGGCTCCGCATAGCACACCCTTCCTCCTCCGACAGCATCTCCCACATTCCTCAGTGTGTCCCCCCAACTGCTCAGTCCCACTGCCACGTCCCCACGTCTGCGAAATAGAATTCTCCCACCATCCACAAGTCCATCTCAAGCCTCATTTCCTCTAGGAACTTCCTCTCCTGGCCCGACCATCTCTGGAGTCTGAACCTGAGCGGTCACACAGGGCTCTTCTCCGTGAGTCCTTTCGATGGCAGGGGCCTCAGAGACAAAAGATCTGAATTTGAGTCCTGTCTGTCATGGGCAGCCATGTGACTTTGGCCTCATCACCTCATTCCACTGCACACACTTCTTCACTGGCTATACGGGGAGACTTACACCTTGAATGACAATAGTAAGAGTGCGCTACTTTAAGTGAAGTCAGAGAGGTTATGTGTTTTGCCAAAGGTCACACAGCTGGTGAGCGGCGGAGCTAATGAGGAGTGACAGCTGAATGTACAGCCAGGTCAGCTTGGCACAGGCTGGCATAGGCTTATTCACACCCTCTGTCATTCTTTACTCTCCTACTCAACTTCTATCCCTTCTCCAAACTGCTGTCACAACTCTCCCTTCCATTTACCCCAAGGGGAAAACCCTTCCTTCCCCATCCAGCCCCCCTTTCGGAAAAATCTAGGTCAACAAGGATAAGATCTGCTTTTGCAGGTGCTGTGGGCGGGGAGGGAAAACTAGAGAATTCTGTGCTGCAGGGGCCCTGGATGCAGACAGAGTCTCCCAGGAAGAGAGAAGTGGGGGCAGAGTCCAAACTCCTCATGAGTGACCTGTGCCACTGGTCAGGCCTGAGTTGATTTTGGGAGCGTGGGAAGGGGGCTCAAGGTGTGTGTGTGTGTGTGTGTGTGTGTGAGAGAGAGAGAGAGAGAGAGAGAGAGCGCTATCCTCAGCCTAAGGGTTTCTTCAGGGAATAGGAGGCCCCTGGGCTCCTGGCATCTGGGGGCAGCCGCCTTCCCATACCTCTGCTGCCACCCGGTGCAGGAATAAGACATCAGCCTACAAGCTGGGCCAGGCTGCCTTGGAGGCCCTCTAGTGAGAGGTGTGGACAGAGGATGCAGGTCAAATTCCTGCCCTGCAGTCCGGATGCCTACGTAGGGACCCCCATCCCACTTGCTACCACACTCTCGGCCTCACCCTGTGACCCCATGTGTTCGTCCCTGGGGTGTCCCTGGCCTGCTTTCAGCAGAGCTGTCACCCCACCCCCACCGCTGCCCAGTGGCCATCCTCCCCATCCTAGAGGTCATGGGGCTGGGCAGGAGGACAGGGGACCATTTCATTGTCCTTCGGTCTGCCTGCAGGTACGAACGTGGGGTCCCCTCTGAGCGGGGCTCCGCGGCGAGCCTTCGGACATATGAAGAGGAGTGAGCAGCCTGGCTCAGTTCTGGAGGTGGCCGCACGCTCAGAAAATGGAATGACCTCGTCTTCCTCCTTGTCCCAACATCGCCGAGAGGACCCTGAAGGGGAATCTGTGGTTTGCAAAGGAGAAAACTGAAAGCTATGGGTTCGGCGGACATGGCGGAATACAATTCATTTCTTAGGCACAAGACAAAGCTCTAAGTGGCCCTGGCACTCAGGTCAATCCCCAGATCTACCCTCTGTCCGGAGGGGCTCAGTCCTGACAAGGGGTAATGGCCGCAACAGGTCCCACCAGGCTGTGATCTTGCGGGAGGCCAGACCCTCCAAACCAGGGGTGGAGCCTGGCACCCCCTGGTGGCACAATGCAGCCTCTGCAGCCTCATCACCCTTGGTTTGCAAAATGGACCCGGGGGCCTGGGCTCGCCCAAGCAGACCCACCTCCAAATTCGCTTTTGGGATGTAAGCTGTCTTCCAGTGAAGCATTATTGTTCTTCTTGTTACCAGAAATAGGAATTGAGAGAAACATGGGGCGCCTGGGTGGCTCAGTCAGTTAAGCGTCCGATTTTTGGTTTCAGCTCAAGTCATGATCTCACAGTGGTTTGTGAGTTCGAGCCTGCGTTGGGCTTATGGAGCCGTCTTGGGATTCTCTCTCTCCCTCTCTCTCTGCCCCTCCCCGACTAGCGCACGCTCTCTCTCTGTCTCTCTTGGAATAAATAAAAACTTAAAAAAAAAAAAAAGAATTGAGAGAAACAAGGCAGAACACTGACATTTACTGAGATTTGCTTTATCCTATCTTGAGGAAAATAAAAATTCAGAGAGGCTAAAAAGGACTCTTTCCCAGGCTGGCACCAAGCCAACGGCAGAGCCAGGACCTGGATGTCTAAGCCCATCAGATCCTTGGGGTGATGACACCTCCAGTCCTCACACCCCCTACTAGTCATCTCACACAACACGCACACTTCTGGTGTCTTGAACCCGGGCAGCTGAGCCTCAGGAGCAAAAGGTCCTTTACTCCCTACTCAGGCTTCAGCGTGTCATTGACACCCAGCCAGTTACTGCTCCTGGGCCTGAGCTGGGGAGGGGGCTGGGGTTGAGGAAGGGGCGATTAGCAGGGCAGACCTGGCGGCTTCTGGGGGTGGAGGGGAAGCAGTGCTGCTGGGATTGTGCGGGTGGGATTCTAAGCCGGAACTTGAGTTCTAGACAGCCGTGTGGTCTTGGGCAGGTGTCTTCACCCCTGTGAGCCTCGGCCAAAACATGGGAAATTGTAACAATACTTTGACAGCCCCACTTAGGAAAAAGAGTCCAGATTTTGGAGTTCGATTTTGTTTTGTTTTATTTTATTTTATTTTATTTTATTTTAACTTTTTAAAAATTTATTTCTGAGAGAGAAAGAGAGAGAGAGAGAGACAGCATGAGCAGGGGAGGGTCAGAGAGAGGGAGACACAGAAACCGAAGCAGGTTCCAGGCTCTGAGCTGTCAGCACGGAGCCCGATGTGGGGCTCGAACCCACGAACCGTGAGAGCATGATCTGAGCCGAAGTCGGACGCTTAACCGACTGAGCCACCCAGGCGCCCCACTGATGTTGTTTTAAACTCTGGATTTGCCAAGGACGAGTTAGGTGACCTGAGGCTAGATACTTAATATCTCTGAGTTCGTTTCTGAATCTGCACAAGGAGTTTGTTGCAGGGACTCAGCGAGGAGATTGGGCTTGGAGCACGTTGGAAAATTTGAGGCTTAACAACTGCTGGTTTTATTGGTGCCTGGGGACGGAGCTCTGGGGAAATGCGTCTGGCACCGGCTACCCTCATGCAGATCCGATTCCCCTGACCCCAGTCACAACGGTGCTCGAGCTCACACTCAACACGGGCGGGGAGTGGGCTTCGCGCTGCCTAGGCCCCCACTCCTTCCCACACTGCCTAGTTACCTAAGGATCCGCTCCTGTTCCCACTTGGTTCTAGACACGGCCTGGAAAGGAAGTCCAGACTCTGTCCTGAAGTCTCCCAGCCACAGCCTCAATCTTACATGCTGAGGGATTTCCTTTGAGAATTCCAGTTACTCCCTGGGAGGCCTGGGGAGCTGTCCCAGGGCCTTCCACCGGAGCCCTTCAGTCATCCTGGGGTCCTGGAACCCACCAACCTCTGGTGCCCAGAGGCGGGAGGGGGCCCACAGGAGACTTACCGCGGTTCACTGTTACGCCACTGGTCCGGCACCCACAACGCTGCCCTGCCCCCCTCCCAGGCCTGGCCCCAGTGCTGGCGTTGTGGGTACCAGGGAGACGGTGGGAGGAGGGGTGAAGGCAGGGGAGCGAGAGAGGCTGACAGGAGGCGGGGACTCTGGGGGGGCTGAGGACTATAAAGGGGGTACGGCTGAGGGCCAGGGCACCCATCAGCGCCCGCTCACTCAGGACTCAGGGTAAGTGGTCTCCGCTGGGGTTTAGGCCAGCCTCTGCAGGCTCCTTGAGCCTGGGGGGTGGGGCAGGGAGGACTTGCTGTTTTGCAGAGCAAGGGTGGGTGTCGCGAGGTCTGAGGGCCTGCTTGGGGCTGGCTCTACATCTGGCTCTACATCTGGAAGACCAGTCTGCTGACTAGAAGGCAGAAATGGTGTGTGGGGAGTGGGTGGTGGCCATGCGCACAAATGTGAGTACTGTGACCTCGTGGGTGACGGGGTCCGAGTGTGCAACCATGTCTATTGGCTAAGGGTGACACAGGCAACGGCGTCCTCCCTGGGACCTGTACCTGGATGTCTACCGTGGTGGGGGAGGGGGGTGGCAGACCCATAGGGGTGGGTTTCCCTCCTTGAGTTCCCAAGTTCATTCTGTGTGCTCCCATTCAGTCGGTGAGCACCCACCGCGTCTCCTCCTCAGACCGCGTCATCCCACCCTGTGTCTGTCTCCTCTGAGCCACAAGGCCCTGGATGTCACCAGTCCTGGGTCTCCTGTCTCGTGTCCCCCACCTTCTCTGCCTCGACTGTGCCAAGGGCCTGGCTGAGGTCTGGCTGCTGGGCAGCTCATGGCCCAGCCGGCCGTGCTCACTGGGGACAGTGTCTAGCAGGTGGGGCAGTCGGGTCCAAATAGCCCTTCACTCTGCCTCTTCGTCCCCAGGCTTGGAGAAATGGGCGATGGGTCCCGGGTTCGGGCAAGCGGGCTCTGTTCTGCCTCTACCTGCCCGCTCCTTGTTCCGCAGATGCCTGTCGCCGGCCGCTGCCTCTTGCTGCTGCTCCTGTCTGCCTGTGTGGCTCTGTTGCTGCAGCCACCGCTGGGTGCCCGGGGGGCCCCGCTGGAGCCAGTGTATCCGGGGGACAATGCCACGCCGGAGCAGATGGCCCAGTACGCGGCTGAACTCCGCAGATACATCAACATGCTGACCCGGCCCAGGTGTGCGCGAGCGAGAGGGAGCGAGACCCCCGTCCCTGCGGCCTGGCCCACGAGCCCAGCCCCTTCCTTGCTCTTGGGGAAAAGTCTCTACTGGCCCTGGGTGGGATGGTGCCCAAGGGTGGGCATGAGGCCGGCGGGCTGGCCCCTGGGCACGGGTCTTCCCGCCCCCTGCCTCTCCCCTCCCAGGTACGGGAAAAGGGACCGAGAAGAAACACTGGACATCTTGGAGTGGGGCTCCCCCCATGCAGCTGCCGCCAGGTAGGTTTGCTTCCCCCCGTGTGTGCCCAGTTCCCTGGGGCTGAAATGGGGGTGGGGGAGGGGAGAACACAGGCCCAGGGCTGGCCTGACGTGTCCACCTCCACTATATCCTGCCCTCCCCTCATAGGGAACGCAGCCCGATGGACGGGTAATGCCACCGCCTGCTTCCTCTGACTCCAAGGGCAGTGCTGGCCCAGCTCTCCCCTCTGTGCCCTTGGCAGTGGCCAAAGCTCGCTCCCTGCTCCCTCTCCCCGCCCTCCCCCCCCCCAGACTAAATAAAGCAAATCAAAGTCATAGCATCTCTGTGTCTCTGTGGACCCCTTTGGGGGCAGGGGCAGGCCGCATGCTCAGGAGAGAAAGGAGGAGGGGAGGGAGGCAAAGAAGGGAAAGGAGGGTATTGTCCATAATCCAGAACATCTGTAGGGGCCTCAGAGCCCTTTGGCTACTCTTCCCCACCTCACAGAGGGGCGGGCCCAGGGGGAGGCAGGGACTCCCTCAAGGCCACTCAGCAAGTCAGTGAGGCTTGAATCTTCCCATTTCAACACTTCAGACTTTCCTGGTCAACAGTCTGATGACAGCCCTGTCCCTAAACATACCCTCTCTCCCACCAATTCTTTCCTCTTGCCCAGGCAACAGGTGAAGTACTAATTTATACTAAAGTGTCCTTGACACAGGGGCAGGGGCAACGGCCCAGGCCTGTGGAATGACTGGGGCTAAGTCACCAGTTGCATCAGTAGCATCAGAGCCACCCTCCCCTGGACCGGTCAGAGACGTGTCACTATGAATGTTCAGTAGAAGCACGGCTCATCGGGGTGGGGGCGGGGGGAGCATGGGGCCCAGCAGAAGCACGGGCCAGTGACGGGGAGGGATCTGGAGACGGAGTCGTGTGCAGACTGTTGGGAAAAGGCGCATTCAGCCCTCCCAACAATCCGGTGGGTGAGGGAGATACTGTTATCTTCATTCTCCAGAGGACGAAACCGAGGCTCAGAGTGGTGCAGCCCCTCATCCAAGACCCTGCACAGATAGCAAGCTAATAATACGGGGCCACGGCACTGACTATAGAATCAGTTGCACTTGGGTCCGATTCCAGGATCCGCCACTTCCTGTCTGTGCGCTTTGGGGCAGGGGGATAACCTCTCTGAACGTCAGCTTCCTCATCCGTAGAGCAGGAGAAATGACAGGGTGGCAGTGAGCGTGACGCGAAATAACGTGTAGAAAGCACTTAGCGTGGTCCTCGACCCTGGTAGGTGCTTAGTAAATGAAGAAACGTGTGTTTCAAACACGTGAAGCTGCGCTTTCCAGAAGAGGGTGACTCCACTCGGCTCCTGGATGCGGCTCCAGAGGGCGGGCTTTTGGTGACAACGAGGAACCCTCTTAGAAGAACCAGAAACGTAGAGAGGACTCATCCTAAGAAGTAGTGGAGTCCCGGTGTAGGACCTGGTGTAGCCGCTGCAGGAGGGGTGGCCGCTGGGGACGTTCGGCCTTCTGGAAGGAGGCTGGATTAGCTGAGAGTCCCAGCCACCCCCCAGGAGTCCGGTCTGTGGCTTCCACGCTCTGGTTCCAGAGCCTGAGGCCCCGGATCTTGCCCCAGGGAGGCCTGCACTGAGGATGAGGCTCGGGTCAGGTGGCGTTCTCCAGCCCCTGCCCTTCTTGGGCACCCTGAGTAGGTGGGGATGGGGTAGTGTGTGTGTGTGTGTGTGTGTGTGTGTGTTGTGTGTGACAGAGAGAGACAGAGAGCAAGAGAGACTGGGAGGGAGGGAGTGTGTCTCTTTCCCTTTGCCTGGGGCTGGAACCACCTGTCATAGCAGAGGTGGGTCCTGAAGAGACAATTAGAATCAGTTCCTGGAGGAGCGCCTGGGTGGCTCAGTCGGTTAAGCGTCCTAACTTCAGCTCAGGTCACGATCTCACAGTTCGTGGGTTTGAGCCCTGCGACAGGCTCTGTGCTGACAGCTCAGAGCCTGGAGCTTGCTTCGGATTCTGCGTCTCCCTCTCTCTCTGACCCTCCCCTGCTCACGCTGTCTCTCTTTCTCTCTCTCTCAAAAATAAATCTAAAAAACATTTTAAAAAATTAAAACAAAATCAGTTCTTGGAATAGCCTCTTTCGCCTCCAGACATGTTCCGCCGGAAGTGATGGGGTTGTGGATCTGGCGGATGACAGGGTCCACCTTCTTGGGCTCAGCACCTCACACTGACCCCAAGACAGAGACATCACAAACGTGTTTCCCCTCAAGCCTGGCTGTGTCTGGAATGTGTGAAAGTGAAACCAGGCCCTAAAAAGGCACCGGGCTGGAGGGGACGCAGCTATGAGGCAAATGCAGGGCGGGGGGTGATTCTCAGCCCCGAGAGGGGGGATGGGAGCGGGCTGGTTTCAGCAGAACAAAGTCTGAGTTTGGATGACGGGGGTGGAAGCCCCAGAGTTTTCTCTGGCAGCTAAGGGGATCGGCTCTGAGCAGGGAGAAAGGTAGACACTTCCCGGGGGCAGGAATTAGGATCCCGCTCAGGACACACTTGCCCTTGCCACTGTCCCTGCCAGGCCCTCCGATGGCCACCAGCCCCCAGACGGGAGTAGTGCCACCCTCACCCCCAGCTTCTCACAGGCCCTGGCTGCGCTCCTCCCTGTTGCCCTGCTCTGGTCATTGCCAGATGGGCTGAGGAGGACCCGCAGGAAGAAGCAGGACATTTTACCCTGAGGGGCAAGCACAGGCACTGCGGCTTGTTCCGCTGCCAACACAGACATCCGGGCTAGCATCAAAGCTTGTGTGTGTGGTTGGAGAGAAGGTCGTGGCTGAAGCCCCTCCTATGAGGTTGCTGAGACCCACTCCTCTCACCTCTGCTCGCCCTCTAGTTACAGACCCCTCTCCCCAGGGAGCGTATGTGTGTAAGGTGCGGGCAGGTGACTGGGCTGCAGGGAGGAGGCGGGGAAGACCTGCAGTCTTTTTTTCTCACAGCAGGCACTCCAGGGTCCCCTCTCCCCCTTGAAGGACAGGTCCCCTTCTGCCTATAGCCCCCAGAAGTCACTCCCCAGAAGTCACCAAAGCAGTAGAAAGATTTCTCTTTATTGTTCTCACTGGGGGTGGGGGAGGTGGACAGGCAAGAGGTAAGGCTCCCCGCGGAATACAAAGCCGGTCAGCGAGGAGGCTTGAGCCAGGCATCTGGAGGTGGAGGCCCAGCCTGGAGAAGGAAGTCCCTGTGGCCCTGATATCCCGCCTCCCCCGCACCCCCCCCCAGCCCCCTCAGGATTTCCTGTCCCTCCAGCCCAACCTGCCCCCAGCTCTGCGGCTCGGATCCAGCCTGCCCAGGCTCTCCTACCTGGGGCCCTGGGAGGGGGTCAGCGGTTGGGGTTTCCTGGTGTTCTGCTGGGGGGTCGTGGCATTCGCTGGTAGCGGTTTCACAGTGTTTGCTGGTGGGGTTTCTGCGGTGGTCGCGGCATTCTTGGGGTTTTTTAAGTATTTAGGTTTCTTGCTGTCCTTCGACTTCACGCTGGGGAACTCGTCTTTGTACAGATCACCAGGCGGCCAGGAACCATGGGTGGGGGTGCGGGTGGCGTCCGCTTTCTCACCCCACCCCGCCCTCTCTCCCTCCCTCCCGCTCTCTCCCCCGCCCACCTGCTGTTGAAGAGCTTCTCCAAGTACTTGTTGAAGTGGGCGAAGTTGGACAGCCACTCGGCCGCCCGAGGCCCGGGGGGGCTGCGACACTTGCAGCTCCTCCCCCCGAGGGCGTCCCGGGGGCCGCAGCAGCGGCTGCACCCTGCACAGCAGGGCCAGCACGCACGCGCAGCGCAGAGCAGGCGTCTGGGGAGGGGAGAGCAGACAGAGTCGCCGAGTGTCACGTGACCTCCCTTCCCGCCCGGGGGGGACCCGTGGCTGGGTGGCTGAGCCCGGCACCTGCGCTCACGTTCCGGGGCGCGCGGCTCCCTCCGGGACGCACACAGGGACTGCCCGGTGCCCGCGTGTCCCGGCCGAATGGTATGCAGTGGGACATGCGCAGTGATGCACATAAGCGCACGAAGCACCGGGGACACCCGGAATGGAGGGGATGAACGGGGTGGGGGGCGTGGCGCACCTTCAGATGGACCCAAGAAGGCTGCATGGAGCCACGGGTCAGCTCCCTAACGTCGCCCACGTCTTCCGCAGCTCCTTGCTCACCCCACTCCAGCCTCTCTCGCCTCCTTGCTGCTCCTCAAAAAAAAAAAAAAAAAATTCCGGGCGGTTCTCTGCCTGGAGGACTTCCTCCAGGTCTCTGCGCGGCCAACTTCCTCCCCTCCTCTCGCAGCGGCTCAAAATCAACCTCCTAAAAGGGTCCTACGCTGATCCCCTATTTAAAGTTGCAACCCATCCCTTCGTCTTGTTCTACGTTCCCCCTCCATCTCACCGTTCACTTACTATATTCAATATTTTAAAAATTGTCTTCATCTCTCCCAAGAGGCACACCGCCCCTCCCCGCCCCAGCTACTCCCCCGTCAGTGTAAGCACCATCACACCTGAGCTTTTTGCCTGTTTTGCTCACTGATGTAGCACAAGCACCTAGAACAGTGCCGGACGCTTCACAGGTGCTCAACAAAACATGTTAAATGAATGACCAATAGGGGCTCCTGGTTACTCAGTCGATTAAGCGTCTGACTTCGGCTCAGGTCATGAACTCACGTTTGTGAGTTCCAGCCCCTATCAGGCTCTGTGCTGACCGGTCAGAGCCGGGAGCCTGCTTCAGATTCTTTTTTTTTTTTTTTTTTGGTTGTTACAAATAGTTTATTGTCAAATTGGTTTCCACATAACACCCAGTGCTCATCCCAAGTGCCCTCCTCCATGCCCATCCCCCCTCCCCCCCACATCCATCAGTCTTCAGTTTTTGTTGAGCCTGCTTTAGATTCTGTGTCTCCCTCTCTCTCTGCCTCTCCCCTGCACCTCCCCTGCTTGCGTTCTGCCTCTCTCTCAAAAATAAATAAATATTTTTAAAAAATGAATGACTAATACAGCCACCTACTGGAGTGCCAGCCCAGGGATCCCCACATATGCCCCCAGCTGTGCAGAGAATTTTGTGCTGGTAACCCACGGGCACATTGATGATTCACCTGCTATGATGCCCATTCACTTAACTCACACTGTCCAGAGCGTCTGGGACGCTCAACCCTTTCTTGACCAGGAACTCCCCTCATCCCCACCCCGCAAAGCAGGGACAGGAAATCCTGGCAGCTTGTCCTGGCCATCGGATTGGCAGAGGGGGGCTGCCCTGGCCTCACTCCTTCATGCCCTTAGTGCCCTGGGGAAGGGCCCTCAGTGCCAGCCTCCATCCCCAAGCTCCTGGAGAGCACAGCTGACAGGGGTCCTGGACTTGGCCATCAGACATTACCATAGTTCTGGGCAGGTGCAGAGCGGCACAGCCAAAGGGTATCTGTCAAGGACCTCCGGGGCTCTTTATATTCCTTCAGATCCACGCCCCCTCCCCCCCAACTAAGGTCCCCGCCCCGTCCCCCCAGCTTGGCCTCCTCCTGCCCCTGTGTCATAACCTGCGAGCTGGGAACAGGGAGAAAGTGGGGGTGGAAGCACATGGGCTCTCAGCTGTCCCGACCAGGGCGCAGCTCCTGCCAGGGGGCGCATAGGTGTGGGCGGCGCAGGCGGGAGGCACTGGGAGTATGGCCACGTTTTGCTATGAGTCTAAAGATCCTAGGGAGGGACTGTCTCTGGGGTGGAGAAGGGGCTGTGCTTTGCCCAGGGAGGGGGCTCTGCTGAGAGACCAGGTGCCCTGCCCACCCAGCTGGGGCCTCGGCACCCCTACTCCCGGCTTCCGAGCTGCTGGCAGGGACAGGGGTGAAGTTAGGGTTTCTGCCTTCAGACTGCAGGCCGCACTGCTCACCCTGGAGATTTCCCCGGCTTGTCCAGCCGCCTTCGAGGCCCTGACGGGAGGCCCGCAGAGCTTTCTGACATGGGGTGGGCCTCGGCTGCTGAATGATGAATGATGATGAACTCAGGCCTGGAGCTGCCTCAGGTCACAGAGCTTTGGCTGTGCGGCCTGTCAGGGTCTCTCTACCTGCTCAACATTGCTGTTTTTCTGGGGCGGGGTTGTAAAAAGTGGGCTGAAGCTTTTTCATGCCAACCCCTGTCCCCCCCATGAAGGGACACAGTAGGAAGAGCAGGGGCTTCTGGGTAGGACTCCTCGCTTTACCACTTCCTGGCTGTGTGATCCTGATCAAGGGACATTATCTCCACTGAGCCTCCGCATCCACATCTGTGAAATGGGGCTGCTCGCACCAATAGCCTTAGGGCTGTTGTGAGTGTTGAGTGGGATGATGGAGCTGAAGCCCTTGAGCAGCTCCTAGCTCTCAATGATGACATATGTGAGCTCCTCTGCTCAGGAAGGCACCCTCTCCCCCGCTCTTCACGTCTCCCTTGGTGGGAGGGATGAGAAACTCAATGTCCATGTCTTTGAAGTTTATGTGATGTCTTGGTAGCCAAGTGAGACAGGACTTTATTTCCACGGAGCCGAGATTCTCAAGAAAAAGAAATGAGATTCCTATGATAAAACTCCATCGTACACATTGGGAGGAGAGACATATAGTGTCTTTTTTTTTTTAAGTTTATTTATTTATTTTGAGAGAGAGAGGGAGAGAGAGAGAGCTAGCATGCCCAAGCTCGAGCGACGGCAGAGCAGAGAGAGACTCCCAAGTAGGCTCCGTGCTGTCAGCACAGAGCCTGACGTGTGGCTCAAACCCACGAATTAAGAGTTGGATGCTTAACTGACTGAGTCACCCAGGCGCCCTTTTATTTCACTTCAGCACAAGCCCACTGTTGATGACCCCATTCCTAAAAGAGCTCAGATGACGTGTCCTCTTGTAGCCTTGGCTTTGAAGACCCAAGCTGCCTTCACAAACCCCAAGGCTTTTCCACAGTTACCGAGGACTCTCTGTCCCTCACTCTCTTCGACCCCCTCACTCATTCCAGGAACTATCAAATTTTGGGAGATGGTGTTCATCTACCCTCCTTCTTGGCACAGAAGAAGAGCAAATGCTTGATGGGGTGAGCAGGCTGGGGCAGGAGGCAGAAAGCACTGAGTATTATTATCACAATCACAAAGTATTATAACAGCCCTGTAGAGTCCATATTTATATACTAATAACTGGTTGTCACTGCAGTGGCTCATACCAGTTACCGGGAGAAGCCCTCTGTTGCAGCGTTTGTAAGTTTTAGTGACACTTTGCAGGCATCCTCAACTCCTTTTGCCTTTGAGGAAACAGGCTCAGAGAAGTTATGAGACGACTCATAAATATGAGTGGGGCTCAGACGCAAGCTCAGGACTGTCTCGGATCTGGGGAAGCAGTCATCTTCTTGGACAGCTACCCCGTCTCTGTCCCTCGGGATTCAGGCCATCTGCAATTCGGAGTCCCCCCTAGACCACTTCCCAGTCCCTTGGCCTGTCAGCCACTCCTGGCTCTGAGTGGGGTTTCTCACCATGCTCTGCACCCGTTCCCCCCTCCATCTGCTTGGCTCTGTTTCTCCTAGAAATCTTTTTGAGTAAACTCTTTCCTGTTCCTCCAGGTCTGGTGGTCAAGACACAGGCACTGGTATCAGAGTGACCTGGGCTCCACGCCTGACATGTAGCTGGTTGGCTGCGTGTCCCTGGACAAGTCACTTTGCTTCTCTGAGCGTGGTGTCCTCAGGCACGGGGAGAAACACCAAAGCTAGGTCTTGGGGCTCTT